TGTTCACTGTGAGCACATGTGCATGCAGCAGAGATTGGCCCCTTTCCCAGTCTGGGGGTTGCCATGCAGGGGATGAAAGGAATCTTCTATCAGGACAGAGTCAGGTATTTCTGCTAGCTGTATGTGAGAATTAATTTTATTATTTTAAAAGCAATAAACTGCATTCAGCCATCGTCCATACGTTCCCTCTGTGCAGGAGCTTCCTGTAATAAAGACCGGTCACTGCTGCTCTCTCTCCTTGTGCAGGGTGACTGGTCTTGTCTCCGCCCCCTCCTGTAATAAAGACCGCTCATTGCTGCTCTCTCTCCTTGTGCAGGGTGACTGGTCTTGTCTCCGCCCCCTCCTGTAATAAAGACCGGTCACTGCTGCTCTCTCTCCTTGTGCAGGGTGACTGGTCTTGTCTCCTCCCCTACTGTAATAAAGACCGCTCACTGCTGCTCTCTCTCCTTGTGCAGGGTGACTGGTCTTGTCTCCGCCCCTCCTGTAATAAAGACCAGTCACTGCTGCTCTCTCTCCTTGTGGGGGGTGACTGGTCTTGTCTCCGCCCCCTCCTGTAATATAGACCGGTCACTGCTGCTCTCTCCTTGTGGGGGGTGACTGGTCTTGTTTCCGCGCCCTCCTGTAGTTTTCTGCAGGCAGCCTGTAGTGGGCAGGGCCTGCTGAGTCCCTCCCACAAATTTGCTCTTTGCACAGGCTGATGATGTCACTGCTACATTAACAAGGTGTATATATATTCTTTGTGGCCAGTGAGGAGTGTATTTCAATTAATGTTTTTGTGAGCAGAGTTCAGCTTTAACTCCATACAGTTACAGCGCAGGACCACGAGCTGGAGAATAACACAGTTACTGCTACTAGTTTTAAAAGGTAATATCTGAGTTTGCAAAAAGAAATGTGTGTGCACAAAGTGTTCTTTTTATCCACGTACGCCCTGTGTGTGTATATTGAGGAATTTATTTTAATTAAAATGTTTTCAGCTTTAAGCGAGAATGCCACAATTCCCATTCCAACTTATACAGAGGACCACTAGGGTGACCACTGGTCTGCTCCCTTCTCTTCTCACCACAGCTCCCATTGGTCACCGAAGCCACCCAACCCCTTGGGGAGGAGGGCGGGGCAACAATTGATTACAATTAGTCACAATTTGCATAAATGTTGTCAATTGTAATTTCTTGCAGGTTCAGTGTAAGCTGATGACATTCCCATTCTCCGGAGAAGTTTGTGACTTCCTGTAAGATGAGTTCTCTTCCTCCCGGAGATGTACAATGTACGTTTCATGTCTCTGAAATTCTTTGTTCTGGAGGTTTTTACCTTTTTTTTTTGCGGCATTTGATCCGCGCCAACCGCCAGAAATAAATAATCCATCACAGACGGAGACTCAGCCAGCCCGAGTGTCAGACGTAATTAGCCCGGAATCCGCCGGCTCTTCGTACGGCTCGGGCCCCGGATAATTCAAATTGATATTCCCAGGTGCCACCTTCCAGCGAGCAGACGAGAAATCAAAGTCACCCTGTGAAGATCTGATTGGCAGCCGCCGGGGCCACCGGCTCCAGTCTACGTCTGAACAGCATCAAATAAAAGAAAGCTACAAAGGAAAAGCTTTATTCTAAAATGTACCTTCCGAAGAGGAGCGAGAACAGCGGAGTGCACATAGAGCTGACAGAGCAAGGCGGCTGAGGACATTCCGACCGGGACATACAGGAAATACTGGAGGGCTACAAACTGATACATTGTATACAGGAAATAGAGATACAATGAGACTGGAGGGTTACCGACTGATACATTGTATACAGAGATACAATGTTACGGGTACAGACTGATACATTGTATACAGGAAATACAGACATACAGTGTAACTGGGAGGATACAGACTGATGCATTGTATACAGGGACTAAAGAGATACAATGTTACTGGGAGGATACTGACTGATACATTGTATACAGGAAATACAGAGATACAATGTTACTGGGAGGATACTGACTGATACATTGTATACAGGGACTAAAGAGATACAATGTTACTGGGAGGATACGGACTGATACATTGTATACAGGGACTAAAGAGATACAATGTTACTGGGAGGATACTGACTGATACATTGTATACAGGAAATAAAGAGATACAATGTTACTGGAGGGCTACAGACTGATACATTGTATACGGGAAATGCAATGTTACTGGGAGGATACTGACTGATACATTGTATACAGGGAATAAAGAGATACAATGTTACGGGGGGGATACAGACTGATACATTGTATACAGGGAATAAAGAGATACAATGTTACTGGGAGGATACTGACTGATACATTGTATACAGGAAATAAAGAGATACAATGTTAATGGGAGGATACGGACTGATACATTGTATACATGAAATAAAGAGATACAATGTTACTGGGGGGATACAGCCTGATACATTGTATACAGGAAATAAAGAGATACAATACCTTTCTATGTTTTCATTTGTATTATTTTTTTTAACCTATTTTTTTCTTAATTTTTATTTATTTTATGATTTTCTTATACATTTATATTTGATTTTCTATACATTTTTCACTTAACTTTATTGCTATCACACACAAGCTAACAGACTAGCAGGCTGCACTGTACATTTAGCTCTGCTTGAGGAGGGGAGGGGGGAGGAGCATTCCATCAGAGGTCCGAAGCTGAGCTCCTCTGAACCCGGTCCGAAGCTGAGCTCCTCCAAACCCGGTCCGAAGCTGAGCTCCTCCAAACCCGGTCCGAAGCTGAGCTCCTCCGAACCCGGTCCGAAGCTGAGCGCCTCCGAACCCGGTCCGAAGCTGAGCGCCTCCGAACCCGGTCCGAAGCTGAGCTCCTCCGAACCCGGTCCGAAGCTGAGCTCCTCCGAACCCGGTCCGAAGCTGAGCTCCTCCGAACCCGGTCCGAAGCTGAGCTCCTCCGAACCCGGTCCGAAGCTGAGCTCCTCCGAACCCGGTCCGAAGCTGAGCTCCTCCGAACCCGGTCCGAAGCTGAGCTCCTCCGAACCCGGTCCGAAGCTGAGCTCCTCCGAACCCGGTCCGAAGCTGAGCTCCTCCGAACCCGGTCCGAAGCTGAGCTCCTCCGAACCCGGTCCGAAGCTGAGCTCCTCCGAACCCGGTCCGAAGCTGAGCTCCTGTGAACCCGGTCCGAAGCTGAGCTCCTGTGAACCCGGTCCGAAGCTGAGCTCCTCCGAACCCGGTCCGAAGCTGAGCTCCTGTGAACCCGGTCCGAAGCTGAGCTCCACCGAACCCAGAAAGAAGATTTTTTGCTGCCGCCCAATCAGCTGTGGCCGGGGAATTCCTCACCTGCATGTAACCAAAGTAGCGGGATGCTCTGACATCATTGACCTTCTATGGTCACGTGGCTGTTTTTGGTCAATCACCTCGAACTAATATGACCATATAAGGTCAATGATGTCAGCACAAGCACCCCTCCCCTTTGCTTATAGTCAGCTGTTGGGCAGGGAATACCCTGGCAGCAGCTGATTGGGCAAATGGTCCCATGTAGCTCTTGGGTTTGGATCAGGTTCGATCCAAACCTGAGCTCATCCCTAGTGACAACAGGAAGTCCCATTAAAGGAAACTTGCCATGGGGTTACAATGAAGGCTGCCACTGCTGAGCTCTCCTGAAAATGCTACTTGGCTGGCTCTCATGCTGCTCCTGCACTGGCTTCAATACTCCGAGTCACTGAGATCTACAAGTATCGAAATAAAGAGAACCTGTCACTTTGATCATTCTTCTTCTGCTGCTCTATTCCAGCCATTGGTAATCACCTGGTGCTTCCACTTCCAGCCATAGACCCATCGTAACCCCCCGACCTCCCCCACCCTTCCCAAAGAGAACCTGTCAGGACAGTCTGGGAGCACCCATTTTTAAAGGTGGTGGATCCAGGGACAAGGGAATGTTGAGGGTGTCATAGGATTGTGTAAACGCATGTATGCTCATCAGGAGATCAGCTCTCACTGGCTGCATGCTTGTCACAGGTCATTGCATCTGAAAGAGGTGCCGGAGATAGCCAGGTAGATATTGTTAAAATAAAGACTATGGCAGCCTGCATAGTTCTTTCACTGGCCTGGAACATGAACACAGGAAGGTAGGTCAGCCCTCACTGGCAACATGCTTGTTACAGGCAGGGCCAGTGCTAGGATTCTTGCCTACACAAGGCAAGGTGCAATTTTGCCCCCCAGTAAAAACAGGGCATTTTGACAAGTACTTGTACTTCTCAAAATGCCCCGATGTTTGCGCTATGTTTATTTTAATTTTTCACTTACCTTCGGCGCGGGAGAGGTGCCGCGCGTGTCGGGATCCTCTGGCAGTCGCCGGCCAGCTAAATTAGGACCCCACCTGTAGCTCCTCCCACTGGACCAGCGCTGACTCGCCGCTGCTCTCCCGCACCGAAGGTAAGTGAAAAAAAAAAACATAGCGCAAACATCGGGGCATTTTGAGAAGTACAAGTACTTGTCAAAATGCACTGTTTTTTCTGCCCTCACCCTGCAGCGCCCTCAGGCGGCCGCCTGACTTGCCTTGCGGTAGCGCCGGGCCTGGTTACAGGTCATTAAGGCATGGGAGATAGCCAAGTAGATGTGTATTGTAGGTATGACAACCTTCATTGTTCTTACACTGCTTAGGGAGTCACTGACCTGGAACACGCACACAGGAAGTGAGATCAGCCCTCACTGGCAGCATGCTTGCCCCTCCTCCCCCGTATCACCATCCGGTCTACTATCCCAGTCCGCTATTAGCACGGTGATGTGGGCGGGGTTTACCTTTTCCCGGCTTCTGATTAGCTATCGCCAGCTAGTGTGATATAATAGAAAATTACTGTACTGGATGTGACTTCCAGCGGACCCTCTTTTGCAGCCCCGCCTCCTCACCCTAACCCCGCCCTCTTGGTAATTGAGTGGCGTAAGCCAACCCCTCCCCTCTCGATGCTGCCCCGCCCTCAGGACCTGTGAGTGGCACAGGGACGCC